TGTGCAGTATAGCCAAGCGAGTCGGTGAAGGTTTCACCTTGAATTAGAGCTCCCCCCCCTCCATGGTTTTCCCATCCACCGCTGCCGCCACGCAGCCTCACACTGTTGGGGACGAGACATTGCCCCCCCCCCCTCCTTCTCTTCCCAGCTGTTTGCGAAGCTGCAGGCCATTAGTCGGAGATCACCGACCTGCAGGATGAGCACAGCAAGGAGCGCAGGAGCAAGAGCAGTCTCAGAACGAGTTCACGCGGGAACTTAAGCTCAAGTGGGTCTCATCATCGTCTTCATCTCTTCACCTATTAACTATTTAAACTATTTTACCTGGTAAGGCCCACTGAGCTATATTGCACTTTTTCAGAAGCGACTTGGCCACAAATTATAGCTTATCATGTGGGTATGTATTGTAGCCAAAAACTCTACATGCATGTTTCTAAATGTGGAGTGAAAAATTGGAGGATCCGGAGAAAAATGTGCACGACCATAGAGAGAGTGACACGCAAATTCCAAATATACAGGCGTCAGGTCGGGATCGATCCCACCACCACCATGGCGAGATCTCACGTGATCCATTCTTGTGATCCATGAGATCCATCTCACCATCACTGTGTCTGTGCTGCAACATCTGCTTCCCTTCCCTGTTTTCAGAGTTCAATGTTCAGATCCGTACGTCTTATTAATGTCTCGGCGGTAGAGCCATTATCCCTCCAGGATCCCTCCAGCGATGATAAAATGAATACCACTTTGTGGGGATGTCAATATTGGTTGTTCTATGGATAGACTCGCCCCTGCCATCAGAGTGTGGAATTTTCACTGCTCGATGCTCATATGAGCAGGAGATCATTTGAATATTCCTTTAAAACTATATTCGTGAGATGATGGATGATGGTCAAGAATAATAACATTGGCAGCCAAGGAATTAAATATGTTCAAGAGGACATCCACCAAGGAGATGGAGTGATGGATTAAGTCCGTATGCAGCTGCCGGATGGATTGTTGCATCGCATGATTGTGGGAGGTGACGGTGTTGTTGGGGAGGGCTTCATGGCTGATGATTTTACTTACGACTTTATTGTGAACAAAACAGATGGCAGCATCGCCCCCTCCTGGCAGGCTATACTATGTGCATATACGAAATGTATTCATTACAATTGTAGTAAGAGGAGAGAAGGGGAATCAATGCAATCGTTCGAGGAGGGGTATTTTTTTATGATGATTAACATTTTGCTTGTTTACCAAAGAAAGCCTCGCTGAGTCTCCAGAGGGTCCTACCAAGTTTTTGCAGTGGGGGGACCCAGGGCATGTTGCAGTGTGTGCGATCCAAATTGCGGGTAACCTTTCAGCATTGGGAAGTTTTGGCCAACACCAATTACATTGTGTGTGTGTGTGTTTTAAAGCTATAAAAGGGAGAAACTAGCAGCCAAATACTGAAAACGCATGTTGATTCTAAATACGGAGGATAAAACTGGAGGACCCGGAGAAAAATCCACGTGACCACGGGAAGAACATGCAAATTGCAACTATACAGGAGTTATGATCGGGGTCGAACCCACAACCTCCTGCATACCAGGCAAGGTAGTTAACATCTTGCCACTGCGGCAGACTTGCAAAGAGCTTCTTAGCTGAATGGGCTTTACTCGGAAAATAAACTTCCGAACTTTTGATGAGTATCCCGAGTCAGGGATCGAGCCCAGGATCTTGTTGCTGCGTGACACAGGAGTCGCCTCTGCGAATCGTTACGTGACCGAGTTTTCTGCCGTGCCTCAGGTGTCTCATCATCGAGAACTTCATCCCTCCCGAGGAGAAGACGAAACTGATGAAGAGGGTTTTCTTCGATGAGGATGAAGAGCAGTGGAAACTGCAGCCGCTGATTCGCTCGCAGGGGTGAGGCACGCGCACAGGAAGCCACGCACACAAAGACAAAGATTCCCTGTATAGCCTTAACATAATGTAGGGGTAAGTGCTGTTAGCGAGCACCCTCGCGTGCCGGCACGTGAGGGTGGGTGGCCAGTACCACACACGCCTTTGTCTCCGTAGTGGCGATGTTTACACATTGCACGCACCCAGGACTCATTTGAGGCGGAGTCGACTAAGTGAGACTCAGAACCTGTTTAGATAATCGTCACTGTTGTTGGTGACAGTGACCAAGAATTGCCTGGTTTGTAGTGCAGCATGCTAACCACTGCGCCACACATACACACGTGCATGCACATACACACGTTTGTCTTATACGCGTATGGCAGACACTCGCATGCACGGTCCTCTTATGGCCTACACAAACACATGTAGCTACACACAGACACAGTGATGGCAATGTGGTGGTAGTTGTTACGATGGAGTTAATGGTAGTGATGATAGCAATGGTGATGGTGGTGATATTGACGGCGATATGCTAATAGTGATGATGGTGGTCGTGGTTGACAGAATGTGTAATAGTGGTGATGGTGGTGTTGATCGTGGTGATCGTGATGATATGCGTACAGGGAGCAGCAGATGATGCAGCGGCCTGCATCAGCCGTCGGATATAAGAGACCCATTTCCCAGCATGCCCTGGACTCATCAGTCATCGTTCCAAACCCTCGTTACCGGGTATCTATGGCAACCGTGTGTGTGTGTCTGATGTGTCTGTGCGGGGAGCGGTAGCGTAGTGGATTCGTGCACTGCACTACGAACCCTGCTGCCCGAGATTGATTTCCATCATGGCCAACATCAGTGGTGATTATCTAAACCAGTCCTGTACCTCTTCTAGGTCGATTTGGCCTTAAATGAGTGCCTGATACAGGGCGACAGTGCTTGGCTTAATTGATGCTTGCTATCAGCACTTGCTCCAACAGCCTGAGGCTGCATGGTGGATCTTTGTCTTTGTTGAGGCTTCGTGAGAGGTGTGGTTTTGTTTGCGGGGATCGGTGGCGCAGCAATTAGTGCACTTCACTGCGACGCCGACTAATCGAGTTCGATTCCCGCTCACGGCCAACACCAGTGAAAATTATCTGAACTGGTTCTGGGCCACCTCTACGTCAACTCGGCCTCAATTGAGTACCTGGTGCGGTGTGTATACATCGCCACTAGGGAGACAAAGGCCGCCTGGTGTGGTGCTGGCCACCCCACCCCGTCGTGTGCCGTGTCGCCCTTCATTGGTGCTTACTACAGCACTTGCCCCTACAATCTGTTAAGGCTATACAGGGGATATTTGTCTGTGTAACGTGTATGCCGGCTGACATTACAGAGCTGGCAACACAGCAGCCATTAGTGCTAAATAATCAGCACTGTCCTGCAAGTGGACATTAGTCTGACAATATCGCTATCGGTAAAGTTAGGCAAAATGTGGACCGTGACGCCACCATACACGGCCCACACTCTTTTAGCGAAAATTATTTTACGAGATCTTTAACAGCCTCAGCAGAGACGGCGCGTAGTGTAGTACTTTACACGGAATAAACCAGGGTGGCCGTTGGGCTTTTGAAGGACTGCTTCATGACGTTATTTATTAAGGGCCACCGTCTCTTATTCGCATGCATTGCGGCTCGTAAAATATCAAGTATTTGTTGTTACCAAATTTGAAAAAAATGGCTCTTGTCATGCGGTTTGCTGTCGCTCGGCCGTGTCACCACCCCCGCCCATCCCCCTTCACCCCCCCCCCCTCGCTGCGCTGTCGTTGCCCGCCGCAGGCGGTGAACGTGGCGTCGCTGGAGCTGGACCCCCCTCACCGCACGACGCGCGACTACGAGGGCCCGGCCGTGGCGGCAAGCGTGCAAGCCGCGCTGGACGCCGCGCTGCTGCAGGAGGCCGACATCCACGTGGACGCCGGCGCCTCGTACGGCCTCGCCGACCTCGCCGGTGCCGCCACGGGCACCAGCGGCAGCGCTTCCTTGCGCAGGAGGGACCGGGCGAGGTGAGGCACCGGGCCGGCGTGCCCAGCATGAGATGAATTGGACGTCCTGTATGAGAAAGATGCGAGGATCTGATTGGGACACCCTGCATTATGAGAAAGATGTGACGCTCGGATTGAGACGCCCTGCATGGGAAAGATGTGACGCTCGGATTGAGACGTCCTGCATGATGAGATAGATTGGCGCTCTAATTCAGACACCTTGCATTAGTTGGATATAATGCGCTGATTGAGACACCTTGCATGAGATGGATATGATGCTCTGATTGAGATGCATGAGGTGGATATGAAAACCCTGTATAAGATAATGAGTCACCTTGCATAAGATATATAATAGATGCCCTGCACAAGCTGCTACAAAGACCGATCAGATACAGAACCCCCGTGTCATCAGCTATAGAACTCTTATCTCTTCCCCTATTGACCCTCACTTCATCCCATACTGAAACCTCGTCGCATTAATCGTATTCTAGTCTTATTTCGGTGAACATTGCTACTTCTGGTCAATTCGTACAACTAAAACCAATCAACCGTCCAAATTCCAGTTCAAAACGCCGCGTCAACGAATCACTTCACAAAACGCGCGCACCGGCCTCTCCTCATCAACGACGGCTACTTCTCCGTTTTTACTGCAAACTATGACCTGGCCATCAGTCGCTCGCTCACATGCGCGTGCAACGAGGCATTCACATCTCTTACGGCTGTCATCGTTTTTTCTTACATTTTTTCTACGCTTTTGTGTTTTTTTAGGCCCAAAACGGCGAAGAAATCTCCGTCTCCGAGCGGCCATCCTCCCCCCTCGCAGCTTTACCCACAACCCCGGGGGCTCGTGCCCAAATAAGGGCGTGCGTGCGGTCAAGTTATGGGGTCAAGCACAGGCAGGGAGAGAATAGAAATTTGACAGGACTTTTGTCGACCTAACGTGTCTCCGCTCGCGCAGCCGAGGGTCGCCTTTACTTTTAACTTTGCTTTCACGCTTCTGATTGAACGTGAACCATGAAAAGCTGTCAGGTGGCTGCGGCGTGGTGGCTCAGTTGGTCCATAATGGCTTTGTCGGGGGGGGAGGGTGGTAACTGAGCCGGCAATGCTGAGAGATCCTGGGACGCATCTCTGTCAGGGGGTGAGAGTGATTTTGGTCCGTAACGGTCCACATTTCGATTATCAAGCTCGAGATACAGAGCATACGTAGAATCGCGTGTTCAAGAATCGATTGTACTTGAGTGCTTATGCGTTGTATGTAATGGGTTTGCATGACCCCCTGCAACCACTAGGGGTGATGCAATGCACCACAGTGTTAAAAGAAAAATAATTGATTGTCAGGTTGAATTTGTGATCCTGAATTGTGACACTTAGCGGAATTTACATGTGGGGGTGAATTGTTACAACACCCCATTGAGCTGGCACCATTGAGATCCTGGGTGTGTGTGTCTATTTCTCACGGGATTCATCAGAATCAGAATATTTATACTGGAGGAATTCGATGAGCTATAAAGCTCTTTTTCACAGATGTCCAGTAGAGCATGGGGCAAGAACTTTGAACAACCAACAATACAAAAATGGCCATGTCGGAGCCATTGAGTGGATCCACCACTGACATTGCGAGTTCAAATCTGGGTTTCTCGGCCACCCATGATTGCAGCACGCTCCTCGAGCATTAACGAGTCTGACTCAACCCAGTCCCCAATGACTGCACATACATACACACAAAAAAGAAAACCCTCAATCAGATTTAGCGTTTCACATACACCCGCCCAGCCCATGCGTCGAGGGGTTAAAATTTGTAAATATTTCTGATGATAGACACGAGGCTTCCCCAACCGTTGTACTCACAAACACGCCTACCCCTACCGTAGCCTAATCTTAGCCGGAAATCTGAGCATTTGTCCTTTTAAGTCTTTGGAAACACTTTTGTCCATTCCGTGATGTCCACTATCATTTGTGGGATGGTCCTGGAAAGACTTGATAACCCACTCGAATATCATTGTTCAGAGAGTAGTTGAGCAGATTTGAGTGAGTGGATGATTACGTTCATCGTGAGGAGAGGATACAACAAAAACTATCGAAAGTGGATTGTAAAGTGTTCCAAAGAAGTCAGCATGGGTTGCCATCATAAATATCTCCAAGTGGGTTATCAATTTTCCATTTTTACAGTACATCCCTCATTTTAAGTAATCGTCTTTTTTAATTAGGCAAGCGGAATGCCCTTAACATCAGTCATCTTTTGCAATAATTGGACGTCAGGGACAACAGCGTGTACTTCCTTTTGTACGTTGGATAGTAATTTTCGAATGACACTGGCGTGCGCTGGTCTGCGCGGCGTGCGAGTAACTACGTCACAGGGTCTTTTGCAATTCCTTTTCATGGCAGCCGTCGCGCTGTGGTTATCAACTATTTCAGTCGCGCGGTAATAATACACCGAGGAGCAGTCGCGGGCCTTCTGAAACTGAAACAGTGCTCCGTTTTTATACCGGTACTACTTTTCCCTCATCAGCACTACTGCTGCCCTGCTTCGCAGCAGCTCCAGAGCGATAGCTCTCCGATGCGTTTTCGGGTTGTTCCCGCGCCGTTGTTCAGCGTAACGTCCAACGGTTCACTCCAGGTGCTGGGAGCTTCTGCAGGAACTCGATTCGGTGCCTAAACGGAAGGGATCTTAAATTTCGATTTAAAGCTTTCGTGACTGCAGGGATTCATCTTCTTGGTTCTTTCGGTAAAAGTCACGTAGAAGGAAAATAATAAGTAATAAAAAGTAATTATATTATTTCTTATGTTTTATTTTTATTACTTTCCTTCTACGTGACTTTACCGAAAGAACCAGAAGGAAGGGATCTTCCTGACAAAGCTCGAAGCAATTAGCTGAATTCAGTTCCCGAGGAAGCTCGCAGCACGTGGAGGGGAACGTCGGACGTCGTGCCAGACAACATATGATGTTGCGGCCCAAAATCGCTCCGGAAAGCTGTGCAGCACAATTGCAAAAGCCTCCCGCTGTCGCAGTCCTGGAATTCCCTACTGCTGCCCGCCCTCTTGAACAGCTATCCCAGAATTCCTTACGAGTACCGTCGAGTGATCCTCTAACCCAACTGGCTACCATTTGATTTTCCTGGCTGCTCTAAAGTGGCACGGGGAAAATGTTCTTCATATTCAGGTCGACAAAAGTCGCAAATGTTTTGTAATGCCTATTTCGTGGTAAATGCCTGTGTCACGCTAGGTTTTGCTGGTACCAAAATTGTCACAAATCTTTGCCCCCCCCCATTAGCAGTGATTGTTAATGTCTTCGTGCATCTATTAACAAAACAGGCAAACGACTTAGCTGCTGCATTGTTAAGAGATCATCGATTTAGCCGCTGCCAGTTAGTAGTGGTAGTGGTACAGCTTGCTGAATTTTTGCGTTACTGGCACAGGCAGTTCAGTCCTCACAAGCTATTACGCGGCGCCAGTAGTAGCAACTCGTAATCCCATCTTGGCGAGCTGGCTGGATGGTTCACAGGGCTTATAATGGCCATCTCAGTGCACTGAGCGAGCACCGCTAAGATCCTTGGTTTTGAGATTAAGCCTATGTTTGTGCAGAGCAAGACTGGGGCTCTCGACTAATTATTTCCACAAAAATAAACTGTCATGCAAATGTAGCATGGAAGAGTAGGCCAATTACCCCTGGGGGGGGGGGGGCGGGGCTCTAGCCCTCTCGTGGAGGCCCATCCGCCAGCAGTGGCATGAGCAAGCAATTCTACGGCTGCTCCTTTACCGTACGCGTGCACACAGCTTTCCACTTAATTCAGTCCAGCTGATCATTGAGGGCTGAAATGTGCAAATATATGGGACGAGTGACACACGGTGATGCGCTGTTTACAGATCGTGAAGGTGCGCCGACTAGTGTGTTGGATAAGAGAGGCTTCTGCGCGATGTGACGCCTTTTGAAGTGGCTTGGTAGTGTCCAACTTTCGGGGCCCATTCCCTTAGGGGCAGTGTTCTTCACTAATTTTCGGAGAGGGGAGGGCGGGGGGCACTTTCGCCGATAAGAGATAAGTCTGAGGTCCACCACACCACCTGTAAGGAGTGTTTTCAAATGTGTGTATTTGTCGGAGGGGGGGAGGTGGGGGCGCACGTCAGGGGGCCGCACTAAAGGCCACCTGAGGGAGCCAGTGGCCCGCGGGCTTGGCAATGAAGAACACTGCCTTAGGTGATGACACGAAGATTTTGCCGCCTGTAGGAGTCGCCAGAATGGGGGAGGGGGGTGTTTGCCACATACCTCAACTGTCGACAGCGCGATTGGGATGTAATTGGTAGGAAAAAATATATATCTGAAGTTAAAATGAGCTATAATGATTGGACAGGTTAGGTTTACCAAAAACAATTATCCCTTAGATTTATGTAGCTGAGAATCCGATTTATGATAACAGAGTAATTTACCCGTACGGTATAGAACCTATATCATCCGATACAAAACCTTAATCTCATCCGATACAGAACTCTTGTCTCGGCTGATAAAGAACCCTTGTGTCAATCGACACAGAACCCTCCTTTTATAAAAGGCTGCCTTAGTTTGGCTCGTGCATTGTCTGCCAATTCCGCTTAATGTACAGTTACATAACTCAAAAAATCTTAAGAGAACGCACTATATTAAATAACACTAAAGATTATACACCACTGCTGTTATGGCGACCAGTTTACGATTTAATGTCGCCTCTTATCCAACTTTAGTCAAGTAAGGCTTAGCTTATTTGATTCGGTGTAATACACGTGCAAATATATATTAATCATACGCAGTGGGTTGGTTTGTAAGGCTGTTATATACATACGGTGCAAAAGAAGGTCACCGCACATAACATACATTGCGTAAGGCGTCACTAACCTTTACTTCAACACGGCTTACTTTACAAACGTTATAAGGGTAACATTTGTGGCCATAAATATACAAATGGATGCCCTTTCTGCCAGCAGTCGTGTGAGCAGGCAAGCCATTGCAGGGCTAACACTTTATAAACTGTTAACACCACTAGCAGATTTGCTCTTGGAATTTCGTACCCTCTGTTTCCACCTAAATATTTATTATAAAATAAAATGAATACACTTGCGTTGGTGTCGTGAGGAGTCGTGTAAGAAATTTGGTTGTTATTAATGGTTAAAGTAACAAAAATACAGTTTTAATCGATTAATTTAGAGCCGGTTATATTTATTAAGAGTGTTTTCTGTTGATTTTTGTAATGTGCGTCAGCATGTTTGTGACAGATTCCGGATTGACGTATATATATTTTTGTAGATTCACGTTTGGGAAATGCACGCTGCTACTGATCTATTAATTGGCAAATAAACGGATGTTTTTGTTTTGCCTTAATTACCGTGTGTGTGTGTCTGTGTCTCATTGTGTGGGGAGTGGTAGTGTAGCGGTTAGCGCGCTGCACTACGAACTTGGCGACCTGGGTTCGATTCCCGCTCACGGCAAACACCACTGACGATCATCTGAACCGGTCCTGGGCCTCCCCTAGGTCGACTCAGCCTCAAATGAGTACCTAGTGTGGTGTGTAAACATCGCCGCTAGGGAGACAAAGGCGGTCGGGCGTGGTGCTGGCCACCCACCCCCTCGTGTACCGTTCCGGCCTTCATAGGTGCTCGCTAACAACACTTGCCCCTACAGTCTGTTAAGGCTATACGGGGGATCTTTATCTTTGTGTCACATTGTAACACCACATGTTACAGTAATACGTATTTGCCAAGGAACATTCAACAATTCTTTACCCACTTACTAGCAAAAATATATATATATACGATAGGCAACGTTTGGGACAATTCCCCTTCATAGTAGATACATAGAGATGCCAGATAGATACGAGTTGAAGACTGCACTACACACCACGGGGTGTGATACGAATAAAAAAAAATGTCCAGTTTTTAAATTGGCATGTGAATA